TATTATAAATATAATTTAAAGCACAAGGTACTAATCACAAGTGTACATCTGCTAAATTATCATAAAGTGAACATATCCAGATTAAGAAAGACAGCATTCTGGAACCCAGCCGTGTCGTATCTCTCTCAGCCATTGCTGTTTCCCTCTTTCCCATGTGTGAGTGTTTATTCTGACTTCTAACACCATAGATTAGCTTTGCCCGTTTCAGAACTTCATATAAATGGAGCTGTACAGTATGCGTTCTTCTTTGTTTGGCTTCTCTTGCTCAACTTTGTATTTGTGAGGTTTATACGTTATGTGTAACAATAGTTTTTTCATTTTATTTTCTTTGTAAATAAAAAAGTCAGAGATACATAGTTCTCTGTACGGAAGTTTACTTATGTGTCTGTGTGCGTGTGCGTGTGCGTGTGTGTGTGTGTGTGTGTGTGTGTGTGAGAGAGAGAGAGAGAGAGAGAGAGAGAGAGAGACTGTTGTCTGTTGACCACAGTTGATATAAAAGCAAAAGAGAGCGTGAAGGGTGAGGTGGGGGAACCTCTTTCTGTAGGTTCATGCATGGGCTGGAGTCTGTCGCAAGAGGCCGTCCCGGTGGTCTGACCTGGAAAAGTTTGGCCTGGTTGTCAAGGGAGGCACCTTGAGTTGTCATAGATTTATGGATTCTTGCGTTATTTATGAATTCTCCAAAAGTCCATACAAGTTTCGCTGAGGAGCAGACAGGGTGGGTTATCTCTGCACCTTGTTTGCTGCTTGGTGGATTTTCACCATTTCCCACATCCAGATCTCCCACGTTGTAAGAGTAGATCATATTTTGTTTATTTATTCTATTGTGGTTAGATTTTGGGGTTGCTTCCACTTTGGAGCTATTACTGGTAGTACCACCATGAACATTTTCGTTCATGTCTTTAATATACATATGTCTGTCCTTCTGTCGGGTGCATACCACGGAGTGGGATTTCTAAGGCATAGAGTATGTGTTTGTTTATCAGCTGCTTGTTTCTTTATACTTTAAGTCACTATTGTATCCACGTACTCAACACAGTACAGCAGGTCCTGGAATAATATAGTTTCTATCAATGTCATTTTGTTATAAAGTTAATGGGGAAAAAACCCAGTTCCCGGCTGTGGCCACTGTGTGTGTGGGGTTTGCCCTTTCTCCCCGTGTCTGTGGGTTTTCTCTGGGTACTCAGATTTCCTCCCACGTCCCAGAGCTATGCCCGTTAGGTGAATCGGTGTGTCTGCATGGTCCCCGTGTGAGTGTGGGCGCGTGTGAGTCAGCCTGCGTGGAAGGGCGTTCTGTCCAAGAAGGAGTCTCGCCTGAGCCCTGAGCGGCTGGGACGGGCTCCAGCCACCCGCGGTTCTGAACTGGAGTAAGCAGGTAAATCATGATCTTACTTGTTTTTGTGAATCTTTCTTAAATGTATGTAAAGCTCACATGTATTTCAATGTTTAATATCAGAAGCGTTTGGCTCTTTATTTAGAAGCGTGGTGATGTTTTCGTGACCAGAAATATGCAGTAAGGACTTAACGCTTGTTTATTTCGCTTAGCCTATGGTAAAGCTGGTTTTATTATACATTGTTTGTTGTTTTGCTTCAAGTAGTAGTTTCCAAGAACCTGTCCGACCAGGTTGCGAGGACTTACCATACCTGTGTGTACCATGGTCCTGTTACATATTTGCGAGCGAATAATATGATGACAGGATCTTAAAGCCACAACTGGTTTCAGATTATCACTGAATTCAACCTTCTGGTTTATGATGGCGTATGTGTCACAGTTCAGTTGATTATTCCCCAGTGTTTGGCATTTTGGCTGCAGTATCTGACTATTAGACATGATGCTGATAGCACGTACATGCATCTTGGATGTGTCTGATTTCTCTAGAATGTGTTTCTGTGTAGGCATGCTATTGAATGCAGCATGTTTTGACTTGCCCTGTCTGGACATTTCTTTTCCCCTTAAATTTTCATGACTGCACATTCAGGATAGTGTCTACAAAACAAAAAAAAAAAGATGTTCTTTTTCAAGCTTGTTCATCCCTGTTAGCACACTGCCTATGACAAACTCGTGAATCCACCCCAGCTCTGTCTAATGGCACTGTGCCTCAGGCCGTCTCAGTTCTCCTAAGGAGAAATGTGTTTGTCACCCTCCCAGAAGGAAGCAACTTCAAAGGATGGCCCGGGTTTTCAACGTGGTATTCAGACACAGTTCTAGAAAGACTACAGAGACACAGGGAGGGTTAGGGAAGGCATGATAACCGTCCTCCAAACCCTTGCGGGCATTTTACTTCCATTAGCTAATTTAGTCCTCAAAATGCCTGGGAGAGGTGAAATTATCGCCCTTGTACAAAGGGGAAAGCTGAAACTTAGAAGTAACCAGTGGCAAGCTGACCCCTAGGAAGTGACAGGGCTGAAAACAGACCTTGGGAGTCCTTGCCCTGAGGCTCCCAGACATAAATTCCAAATTAGGGTTTGCTCCATTCAGATACTACCAGAGTCTTGCTTCCTAAGGGGGCTTTCCCTCTTGGTGTTTGAATAAAATGGTGACAGATGTTGACATGTGTTTGAGAAGCTCTGAAAAGTCCAGCCTTATATTCTTGTTGTTACTAAAGCTGGGCAAGATCAAAATCTGTCATATAGGTTTTCAATAGTGATTGGTACGACCTCCTCTCCCCACCCTCATGGATTTGGGAATAATGTGGGAGAGATTTTTTTGACTGTCAGAATTAGTAGGGGTGACTACTGGCATTTAGTCCCCAGAGGACAAGGATGTTGAGTGTCCTGCAATGCCCAGGGATGGTCTCATTCAGTAAAAAATTGC